CTCACAGCAACTTTATATGCTATTTATAATTATCCCCGTTATATAGATGTAAACTGAAGCTGAAAATGTTTCGAGTAAATTTGCTCAAGATTGCCCACGTAAGAAGTGGTGGGCCCACGTTTCAGAATCAGGCATTTTGACTCCTCAGCCCCTGTGCAGCACTCTCCTAAAACACGGTTTACAATTATGTCTAAAATGTTTGCATCCGCATAGCTGACACCACGCTGTATTGTATGTATAATTAAATCACTTAGGTAAGTATCACCGTTATCCCCATTGTGCAGATGTAGTAACTGAGTCACTGACAGTCAAGCTCAAGGGTAAAGAGCTTGAAAGAGGCAGCGGTGGGAATTTAAGACCAGGCCACCAGGCTGCAAGGGCCGCTAAACGCTCACTCTGCCCTCTCTAATACACCTGCTTTTGTTCATGGAAGAAGCATCTGCCCTTAGGGGTTATTGATCCTTACAGCCTGAGTCACAGCTCTGCCCTCTGTCCTCCTGAGGATGCTCCAACCCCAGGCTGATGTGTCTTTAAGCTTTATTGAATGTACATTCTGTTGCATAGACAAGAAAGCATTCTTTGCACAAATATGCATGTGTTAGTGTATGAAGGAAGAGGGAGTAGTGAGGAGGGCTCATTGTGTAGTGTTAAAATATCCACTTTCTATAATATGTGAATGATTTAAATCAAGAGCAATGCCATGCTTACACACATGACATTCTTTTGGCCAGCTAAACTATTTTACTGCATATTTAAAAATTAGTTTATCTTTTATCATTAGATCTGGATAATAAAATGGTGATGGTTAATAAACCCTCCCAGTGATGTGTGGGGTTGCATTAGTTGGGGGTCCTCATTTATAAATACATCTTAAAACAGTTCAGTGACAAAAAGCAGAGGCAAATATTTCCATCTATGTACTTGGCATTTTAACATCAATGTGGAGCTATATTTGCTATTCTAATAGATACAAGTAGATTCTTGTGCTCATGGAAAGTGTGTGAGGTACTCAGCATTTGTGAACATTGCTTCCTTGGCTGTCCCTTTGTGATAAATAAACTTTGGCTTTGAGTTTCTTCTGAATAACTAGGAAATAAGGGGCTGGTTTTTAAGAGGCAATAGTTTTAACAATGAATATTGGATTTGCTAAGTAGAAGCTTTCTATAAATTGGTATAATATGTGCTTTATCAGAAATAGTAAAAGAACCAAAGAAGTAATGCTGAGCTTTAGTTTCTGAGAATATCACATTACAAGTCGCACTTGAAGACCATGCCATTGAAGGTTAATTCTCTACCAATAAACACACCTGTTACAGCCTTCCACTCTCTGGAATGCTGAGGTATGCAGCCCTGTCAGAGCCAACATTTTGCTAAGTAATATTAATCAATTTAAAATATCTGTTGAATATTTACTACACGCCTAGTAAGCCTAAACCATTACCAGATATTAAACATAAACGTTACAAATTTTAAAAAGACATAGCCCCTAGTCTCAAAGAACTTGTTGAGAAAGACAATAAACATATACTAAGTATTCAACTCTTTAAAAATTACAAGTATAATAGAACTTGATAAGTTTTCTGGTGGATTAGAATAATATTTTAAGACCATATAGATAATACAGTACTGATACAATTTTTTTAAAGTATTTTGTGAAGATTTTTTTATTTTAACTTTTTTTTAATTTCAGACTATTATGGGGCTACAAACATTTTGGTAACATACAATGCCTTTGGCTCACCCAAGCCAGGGCTACAAGCGTGCCCTTCCCCCACAGAGTGCACACCGCATCCATTAGTCGTGAGTTTACCCACCCCCACCACGCCCCTCCCACCTGACCGGCACCCAGTGAATATTACTTCCATGTGAGCACCTTAGTGTTGATAAGTTAGTACCAATTTGATGGCGAGTACATGTGGTGCTTGTTGTCGAGTTCACAATCAACAAACTAATAAACCATCTCAAGGAACTGGAAAAGGAAGAGCAAATTAATCCTAAACCCAGCAGAAGAAAAGAAATCACTAAAATCAGAGCAGAACTAAATGAAGTCAAGAACAAAAGAACTATACAGAAGATTAATAAAACCAAAAGTTGGTTTTTCAAACAGATAAACAAAATCGACAGCCTTGAAACACGGACTTGGGGGGGGGAACCAAGGGCAACACACGTAACCTAAACATCTGTACCCCATAATATGCTGAAATAAAAAAAAAAAAAACTAGGAAGGAAAGGACTCTTATAAGCTTGATTAGAAATGAAAAAGGAGAAGTCGCTACAGCCATCACAGAAATACAAAACATTATCGTTGAATACTATAAAAATCTATATATGCCCCCAAACTACAAAACATAGAGGAAATGGACAAATTCTTAGGTAATACAGTATTGGTATGATTTGAATGACAGTGAAGAATGGGTATTCGGGACAGGTGGAGGAAGGGAAAGGTGTGCGGACACTGAGCCAGGAATGTCAGGGGTGTGTGGGGAGTAGTAGGACACGAGTGTTCGTGCACAGAGTCTTTGAAGAGAATAAGAAAGTCGCTTGATTTTAGTCGGCAGGAGGTGCCATTTTAAGTTCATAATAGGAGATAAGTGAGAAGCTTTAACGCACCATTGCGTGTATGCATTTATGAGAGAAAGATTCCGAGAACTGCTGTCAGCAAAATTCAGAACCTGATATAATGTTATATTTTTGGTGTCTGTAAGAAAAAATGTATTTTTGTTCAAGGTACATAAGATGTTATACATCTGTTTCTCAGCCATGGCAGAATTTACTTCCTTGTTTTTATTTTTGTTTTGTCATTTACACGGTGACTCCGTAAGTATTAGCAAAAGTAAGGAAGCAAAGATATGAAAAAGTACCTAGGATAATACAAAAAACAAACAAAAAAAGAGGATAACTCCCAATTAACTAGTGCATTTGCATAATTATTTAATGTAAAGGAGTGTGTTAGGATTGTGATTATTGACATGCCGGGATTACCTATTGTATTCCCAGGAAAACCACTAATATTTAAACTTCATTGCTGTTATCAACATACTATTGTACTTCACTCAATTACGGAATGCAAGTTTATTTTTATTTGTGTATTTAATGTTTTAATCTAACTTATCCTATTTAATAATAATTATAACAATTTTTCAACTCATCATGAAAGGTCAATAAATATTTATGCTCTTTTAAAGGTAAACTTTACTTGATGGATAACTATACTTTCAAAACCACTGTAATCAAGTATTTTTTACACTTTTACAAAATCCTTTTTCAGCCATTCTAATATACTTGCCAAAACCTCCTTTATATTCTGTGTACAGATTTTGACAACATTCATTATCTGCTTAACAAACCACATCAGTTCTGCAAGGCCATTATGGTTGACTACAGATATTCAAATTTACTTCTTTACTAAAATGCAGGTTTTTGCAATAATGTATCAGATTGTTAAATTTTACATTATGAATGGTTTATACACAACAGTGCTTAACAAATCATTAGCACGATAAAGTGTTAAATGTGATACTTTTTTCAAAATGACTATCACATATTTTCTACTCTTTAATTTTGTTTTTCAAAACGTCTATTACATGGTTTTTACTGTTTAACCAGGAACCTAAAGTCAAAATGAACAGAGAGAAGAAACTGATTTGGGGGGAGGCTGTGGAAGGCACGCAGAGCCAGGACAAATCACTTTATTGAGTTAGCTATATTTTTGCCTTACTTTTGATTTTCGGAATTTGAGTGTTTTTTAAGGATTTTTCAAGCAATATATTAAAATATATTTTAAGTTGTCTTATGCAAAATATTTTCCTGAAAATTTTGATTAGTATAGCAAATACAATAAAGAAGCTAACTTTCTAAAATGTAAGTAATATATAGTTTTGAAAGTGAAAAAATCATTATAACATGACTGCAGTGTCTAGATAATATTGATCATTAATAAATCTTTACTGATTGATTAATCATTATAAATTATGTTTATTGAATGTAGTATGTTTTTCTAGAATGCCTATCATCAAAAGTATTGCAGAACTATTATTGAAAAAATAACACTAACATTATATTTGATGAGATATGCGTAATGAATACAAGCAAAAACAAGTGAGCTTTAAAGCACTTTCTGTAAACTATAATTCACAAGCAATATTAATATAAAGACTGATTACTTTGACTATTCTATTACTTTAATAATGAAAGAAATGTGTTTTCCTAATATTGAAATCATATCTGACATTTTATATTACTATATTAAACTTCTCACATTTTAACATAATTTTGTAGCCAGATTTCATTCTTTCTTGGAGTTCTTACTTTGCCTTCCCATTTGCTAAATGTCCTCTGTAATCTGGAGATCATGGTCACTGGATATCAAGTCACTAGAATGTGTGAAATACATGCATAGCAGGCTAATTTCATCAAAATGTATACAATAAATTGGATGAGCATGATCTCTATATATTTTTATGTTACTCAGGATTAATTTTTTCCTGGTTCTAAATTTTAATGACATACTTTGTTTTTTCTTATGCTTAAGTGATGTTACAGGGTTTGCTTTAATATGGTTTCTTCATTAGTACTTTTTAAGTATATATTTTAAAAATTATTTTAATATTTCAGTTGTATTTTTGCAAAGTAAAACTAAATTACACATACACAATTTCAACGTAAAACATAATTTATGCACGTGGCAGACCTTTAACGTTTGCTAAATGAATGTACCGACTAAAAAAAATGCGGATAATGTACTTCATTTTAATGATGGAAAACACGCCACGCTGTTTTTATAAGCTGAGCCTCTCTAGAAAAATACCAGCTCCATTAGTAACACAAAAAATAATTACCACTACAGCAACATTTCTGAAAATCACATGGCAAATCATTTATCTCACTTTGGTGGCAAATTATCATTCTAATCTTTTTGTTTTTAGATTTGTAGTGTGAGTGATTTACTACTGAGCGTGAGTTATCACTTTCTTCCTTTGTCTTGTTCTTCTTGTTTTTAGCTCCTTGTGAAGGCAATACATTCTTCTGCCACAGCAACATGTGTATTAATAATACACTGGTCTGCAACGGACTCCAGAACTGTGTGTATCCTTGGGACGAAAATCACTGCAAAGGTAATGATTAGTCTTTACTAATTTAAAAAATACCCTGCCCGTGGAGTAAGAGAGAAGTTTATATGCATCGACCGCTTAAAAATAGAGTATACTATGGCTTCCGTGAGCTCCGTGTATGTCTGTATACACGATTTGTAGGCATGCTGTATCCAGATGTTTCCTCATTCACTTATGCACAGTGGACTGTCCTTAACACTTGAATACTCATTAAAGACATCTCCTGATTAGAGCCTGCAGAGTCACGGGGGCCGGGTGGGGGAACACTGGAGCTCTCAGTGGAGCACATTACTTTCCTGTCTACCTGGTACCCCTTCATCTGTGGCAACACTACTCATTCCAGTTTGTCTTCACTGGACTTTGTACACATCCTCGAGAGATAAAATATATTGAAGGAGTATTTGTCATTTCAAGTGCTTCCAGCCACTTCACTTCACTTCAATTTTGCTATGAAAATGCCTTTCTTCCTTTCCAATGAAAACAGCTTGCAATGCTCCTGCCTCCTTCTCTAGCCTACGCACGAAGGTTTGTTTATGCAGACAGAGATCTACGGCTGGATTCTGAATGTCACATATTTTAGTCAAAAGTTCCATATAAATTCTTTTATTATATCCAATATTAAATAATTTGCAAAGGATGATGAACAGACAAATAACTCTTTCATGCTTAAAGTTCAATATTACCTATTGAAATGCCTTCTGTGGATAAAAGCAGAGAAACATTGCCACAGCATCCATTAGTTTATTACAGTCAGAAAGGCAGGTCCAGTATCAATTATTTTGATGGTGGGGTGTTGGTGATGACTACTTTTACGTCCACTTCTGAATGCATAGGAAATTAAATACTTTCTGAATTATCTTAATAGGGCCCTGTTAATGATGAGTAGTCACCATTGGCTTTGTTTGCCCAATGTAAATTTGTCCCCATGTATGTAAGAATATTTGACATGAGACAGCAATCAAGAAAATGTGAATATTGCATTACGAAAGTCCACATTTATTTTCTTCATAAGGCAAAACTATTCTTTTGATTTGTAATTCATTCTCTTGCATTAGGAGAAAATATTTTTTATTATTTCCATCATTTCTAATTTATTGAGGTTAGTTTTATGGAAAGCATGTGGGGTAGTCTAAAAATTGTTCCATGTGCCCTTGAAAAGAATATGTATTTGCTATTGTTGAGTGGATTGTTCTATAGATGTTTGTTCTATCTAGTAGGTTTAGAGCATTGTTCGAGTCTTCTATTTTCGTTACGATGTTCTGCCCTGTTTTATCCATTACTGAAAGTGGGTATGAAATTCTCCAACTATTGTGGTTGAATTGTCTGTTTCTCTCTTCACTTTTTTAAAGCTTTTGTTTCATGTATTTTTAAGTTTGGTTGTTAGGTCCATATATGTTTATAATTGTTATATAGGTTGACCTTTTATCACTATAAAATGATCTAATGTGTAGTAGTGTATTTTTTATCTTAAGGTACATTTTGTCAGACATTAGTATAGCCACCTTCCTTATGATTTGGTGTCCATGCTTTCTTCCCATCCTTTTACTTCCACTCTGTCTGTATCTTAGACACAGAGTAGACAGTGTATAGTTGCATCTTACTTTTTTATCCAGTCTGACTTAATACTGTGATTTATATGGTTGAATTTACATTTACCATTATACTATTGGTTTCTATATATCACATGTATTTTTTCCTGTGTTCTTCTTTATTATTCTATTCTTCATTAAGTATATATATTTTAATGTGATATTTTAATATTTTTAGTGGTATTTCAATGTATTTTTTACTTTATTAGTAGTTGCTTTGGGGCTTACAGTATACACCTTAACTTCTCAAAATATATTTTAGGTTTATCCTAACTTAACTCTAGAGAGATATAAAAACATTATTAATATACAGCTCTATTCTTTCTTTTTTTCCTATTGTTTTTGCACGTTACATCTATATGTTACAAACCCAACAATACATTACAGTAATTATTACTGTATATAATCTTATGCCTTTTAAAGAAACTGAGAGAAGAAAGAATAACAAGTATATATTAGCATGATTCATGATACAACCCTTCTTATTTATCATTTCTGGTTCTCTGTATTTGTTTTTGTAAATTTTCATTTCTCTCTGTTGTTATTTCCTTACTCTAATCACAGCTTTTCTCTCACCTACCTCAATTGTACTGTTTTCACCAAATATATTGCATTTTGATAAGTTATAGGCTCAAAAATACAATTATATAACTTTGCTTTTTTAAAAATTAAGTGAAGAATGCAGAAGAAATATGCAACTATACTGTTCTTCATAATTATATACATAATTGTCTTTATTGACTATACGTATTTGCTTATTTAGTTTGTTATCTTTAATTTTTTCATGTGGATTTGAGTTACAGTCTGAGGTCACTTGTTCTCAACTCAAAATCTTTCTTCAATATTTCTTTTAAGACAGCTCTTGAAGCATTGAATTCTGTTCATTTTTGTCTCTCTGGTAGTGTCTTTATTTCATATGGAAAGTAGGTTTCTGGATATTAGGTTTTTGTTTGACAGGTTTTTATGTTGGGTTTTTGTTTTGGTTTGGTCATCATGCTGCCCTCTGACCTCCACTGAGGAAATCAGCTGTTAGTCTAATTGGGGCTCCTTTCTATGAAATGAGTTGTTTTTTCTCTTGCTGCTTTCAAGATTTTCTCTTTTTCTTTTTTTCTAAAATTTTTAATATTATATATCTGGGTATGGATCTCTTTGGATTTATCCTACTTGGAGTTTGTTGAACCTGGATTAGAGTTTTCTCATTAAGTTTGGGAAGTTTTTGGCTTTTATTTTTTTAAAAATATTTTTCCTGTTATTTTCTAATTCTCCTCTCTTTCTTGTACTGCCATTACATTACATTGGTGTCCTTGATGGGTTGCCACACTTTTCTGAGGTTCCATTAATTTTCCTTTATTCATTCGTCTCCTCTTCAGATTGTGTTAGTTTTATACCTGGCTCTTCAAGTCTGCTGATAGTTTCTGCTTCCAGCTGACATGTACTTACTGTTGGGTCGTTCTAGGAAATTTTAATTTTAGTGATTGCACTGTTGAATTCCAGGCTTTCCATTTTTCTATTTCTTATAATTTCTATTTATTGATTGATATTCTCTATTTAATGAGGCATTGGTCTCATCCTCTTTAACTTCTTTAATCATTGCTTGCTTTAGGTCCTTAAGCATATGATTATAGCTGCTTTGCAATTTGTGTCTGCTAAGTCAGAAATCTTGCTCTCTCAAAGGTGTTTTCTTTGCTTGTTTCTTTTCTGTAAATGAATTGCACTTTCCTCTTTCCTGTTTCTTTACATGCCTTACGATACTTTGTTGCAAACTGCATGTTAGATAATATATTGTAGCCACTCTGGATACTAATTCCCTCCTGTTGTGGTTTTCTTGCTTGTTTGTGAGTGTAGACCTGGCGGGACTACTTCAGTGAAGTCTCTGCCATTGTACCACAGAGGCACAGCCTTGGGCATCCCCATAATCGCCCTTGGACAAACATGATGTTAGCAGGGCTCTCTTTGTCTCTTTCCCTGTTCTCTCTGGTTAGTTGTCTACCTCTGTTGGTATCACAGCCAGTTGTTGGTCCCCATTCATCACCAACTGCTTACTCTACTGCTTCAGGATCATAAATTGTTTCACAATCTGATCCGGTTAAATTCAGTTGATTGCAGGGGTAGTCTTTGAGTCCAGGCTTTGTGAGTTGTTACAATGCAGGGGGCTCTTCTTAGCTGTTAATTTCCTGGCTTGTTTTGTTAAAGGTCTAGCTCTTCTAAGGTTTGGCTTGTTGCTATTAAGTCACTAACAGCCTCTTCTTAATTGCTTACTGCAGAATCTCTCTGGTCTTGGAGATATCCTTAGGTTTGAGCATCTCTGCACTCTATTCCAAATAAACTAACCTTTTGGGGAAAAGCTATAGTGTTCTGCATTCTTGTGGCCTGACTCCCTTCCCTGGCAACACTTCTGTACCACCGCTCTGGGTGGGGGAAGGAAGAGTGGCCAGATTTTTCTGGAGTAACAGACCTGCTTTATGAACAAGGCGCTGGATGAGGGAGCAGCACTGGTGTTCTCCACTTGCAGCTCCAAGCTGAGATGAGGAAGAGAGCCCCAGACATCTCAGTCACTCATGCCTGGAATAGAACATCTACAACATGGCTCTGGGGTAGTAGGAAATGTTAAATGCTGGTAGCTTGCCCCACCTGGAGAGATAATGTAGCTCTCTCAACTGGGTACTGCAAGAACAGGGAGCCCTGTGTTCTTATCTGCAACCTCCCTGAGTAGAGCTTCTATCAGGATGAATTAATAGTGGAAGGAGCAAGTCATGGCTCCAATTCCACCAACTCTCACGGTTCCTAAAGAAATTTAGTAAATTTGTTTAAATCAATGTATCTCCTCTAGCTGTACACTGCTAAGAAAATTTCCAGAGTTTCCTTAAACCAGACTTTAAGTGGTTGAGCTTTTAAAATAATTTCTTTACAACTTATGGTTATTTAATTTGGGAAAGAGTCTACGTAGGCCTTCATGCCACCATTCCAAAAGTATCTGTCTTCAAGTTGAATTGAATTACTGTTCAGCATCAGAATGCTGTTGTTATTTT